AGACCCTCCCCACCCAGGCTCTCCCCACCCAGGCCCTCCGCCCCCAGGTCCCTTCCATCCAGACCCTCCCCCATGACGCCCCTTCAGCTCACAGGAATGCATTCGTGGGGCCCAGCAGCATACCCCATGTCTCTGTAGTTCCTACCTCCTTTAAAGGGGCCCCCAGTAGCAAGCCAGTGACCTCAAGCATCTGGGCCCCCAAGCATGAGGACCCCCAGGCACCCACCCGGAGGCAGGCAGTAGGGCTGTTGGCCTTCCTTGGCCTCCTCTTCTGCCTGGGGGTGGCCATGTTTGCCTACCAGAGCCTGCAGGCCTGCCATTTTGCAGGGGACATGGTGGAAGGGCTTCGCTATGTCCCCCGGAGCTGTGGCAGTAACTCGTATGTCCTGGTGCCAGTGTGAGCTACCCATGTGCCTGTTTCCAAATGTTCGACTCAACAGCTGCCTAGGGTCCCCCATCCTGACTCCCACCCTCACCCACGGGCCTGGCCTGAGCTGGGATGATCGAAGTAGTGAAGCAGGACCCTCCAGGTGGGCACACCCCTTTGACCATCTTTGACCTACAGGAGACAGAAGAGGTGGCCTCCGCAACTCACTTCAGTCTCCCTAAGTCAGAAAACTCTTCTGCTGCTTTGGCATGGTCAGAGGTTCCCTTTGACACAGTCCCAGCCCCAGTGAATAATTATTTATTGAAAGCCCAGCCCCTCTGGCCCATGTCCCCATGTGGGCACTTCAATCATCCCATCTCACAAATGAGCCTCAGGCCAGGCCTCTTCTGCCCACACCCTCCAACCTCATCATGTCTCCTGGTCCCGCTGCAGTTGCCAGTCACCCCGGCCACCTGCGGTGCTATCTCCCCTGCTCCCTGTACAGACCCCATGCCCCAGCCGGGGACCTGTCTTTCCTTGCATGAGGCTAGTGTGGTGTGTCCTGGCACTGCTCCCAGCAAGGGTTCTGCCCTCAGTTAGGCATCATGGAAAGGAGAGATGAAGTTACCCAGTGACTTTGATTGTCCCCCCCGCCCCGCTGTGTTGTGCAAAGAGGGAACATAGACTCTGAGCATGAAAGTTGGGGCTCTAGTCCCAGGTCCACTACCAACTTGACAAGGCATTCATATCTCTGGTTTCCCATCTGTGAAAGAAAAGAGGGACAGCAAATACGTGGCAATAACCTACACCCCTGATAGGCATCACCAGTTGGTCCAGAGACCCCTTTCCCCAGGCCCTGGGTGCAGCCGCACAACTTTTATCAGCAAGGTGTCTTAGCGAGAGTCTACTAATGGATGACACTGGCCCATCTGTGGGCCCTGTGACCTGGAGGGCCTGCAAGGAGAGATCTGATAGCGCAGTCCCGCCCTGTTGGAGGAAGTCAGCACCATGGGCCCCTGTAGTGGGGGCAGGGCTGGGGTACTTTAGGGGCAAAGACTAATTCTGAAGGCCCCACCCCACCCTCACCACTTTGAGAACAGCCCCTCCCTGTGTCCACCAGGCTTACAGACACACTGAGACAGCCAGGTGTCATGTGACAAGCTGAAGGAGGAGGGGTGGCCTGCAGGCTCCCGGGAAGGCCAAGGCACTCCACAAAAGAGGCCAGGGAGAAGCTGTAGGAAGCAGTCACACTCTGCGTTGGGGATTGGGTCCAGCGTTTGCTCTTTTTTTTCTGTGGCCTGGGTTCCCCATCCACCCCTCTGGCTCCCAGAAAACACTGTTCTCTACACTACAAGATCTACTCCCCTCACCTTTACCCCAAATGAGATCACAGTCCAGCAATGATGTTCTTGTGTTTATGTCTGAAAGGGACCCTGTCCCGGGGGGAGAGTCCCATGGGACAAAGGAAATTGTGGGCGTGAAGTCAGGGGTTCTTTTTGGCCCCTAAGAACTCAGGAAGGCCTGGGTGGGGCTGAAGACTCACTGGGCTACAATGTCCCCCAGTCAGAGCTAGATCTGCAAGCTTCACCCCTCAGGGCTCCTGGTGGCAGCTCCCACCTTCCTCTGATTGTACCTAAGGATGACCCTTGCCCCCCACCTGAGATGCTCCCAATGGCCTGGACTTCCTCCTGGTAGAGGTGACGCGTTCCTTCATAGTTGGATGCTCAGAGGAAGCAAACACAGCTCTGGTCCACAGAGAGAGGACTGGGGCCTCCTGCACCCTTCTGCTTTGACACCTCCTGTTTGGGTCTGGCTTGAGTGACAGCTCAGAGAGGGGGACAGCAGGTCTGAATGCACTTTTTTGGGCTCCTGTCACCTGGGAGTCTTCAAGTACTGGGGCACCCATGATGGGGCTCCTCTCCTTTGTTAAAAAGTCAGCTGGGGCAGCTGGTCCCCTCTCACGGACTTTGTTAGTTCTTCCAAGCAGGACATGGACAAGGACAATTTGGGGAGGACTTTAGAAGGAGTTGATCGATCCTTTTGCTTTCCCAACCCTATCACCAATGTCTGTGCCATTTTGTATTTTACTAATAAAATTGAAAAGTCTTGTGATTCAAGTAAAAGTGCTTTTTCTAGGGCAGGCTTAGAGCCTCAGAAGGGGATGGAGCAATGGAGGGGACAAGACTCCCTGCGTCAGCCCTAGAGACCCCCGCCCCAGTTCCTGTGGGGCAGAGTGGCAGGGACTTTTATAGTCAGCAGGGGGAAGGGCCCTGGGGACAGGGCTGAGGAGGGCTGAGCCCCTGGCCTGGCTCTGCTCCCACACATCGGGCCACATTTCCATCTTTGCTGCCTTGACTCATTCCTAGCCAAGGGTAAAGATCAAAGGTAAAGATCAAAGAGGGACTACTTCTCAAGGCACTTGGGTATTCATAGATATGACTCTCCAAGTATAAACATACTGTTGGCCCCTAAGCCCTCCAGTGTCCTGGGATGACATCATTAAGAGCCGCTATGTACAATTGCGTAGGTTGGGAACTGCCCAAGTTGCCGCAGGCCAGGTTCAGCCTCTTGATATATAGTATTTCATGGATTCTGAGATGCACGTTTTTTTCCCACATTGTGACACCTTTGGAATTAGAATTAGTCTTACAATCAATGGCTTGTCAGAGTTTAATGAACAGGTCTCTCTTTATTCGTTCATGAAATATCAGAGTGTCTTACAATCAATGGCATCTTAGATCCTATGTCTAATGGTGTTTTAAAAAGTTAGAGGCACCATGTAAAAAAATCAGGAAATTACATACAAAACCTCACTTTTCTATGTTCTCTCAGGTGACTCAGAAGGTCTGATCCAGCAGCAGCTGCCCCTTGTGATGTGGGAGGCCCAGGATGAGACCCCAGTTCTCTACCATCCTTTCCACCCCTTGGTACTCCTGGACACTGTGGCATGTCAGTTGCCACTTATCACCACCCTTCCCTTGATTTCTTATAGTAAGGATATTTTTCTCTGAGCCCAAGTCTCCATCAGAAGTGGGACAAAGAAGGACAGACCATGATGGGCATGTGATTTCCCATGTACCCTGCTAGCCTCCCCCATTTTACTACCTGTCAATCCCCATAGACATTTGGGTTGAGGTTCCTGCGGGAATCTGAGTTTGCTACCTCTGTGTAAGCTGCTGATTCTAGTACTTTCCTCAGCAGGGACCTGCTCCACCCCAGAGCCATTCCCCTCTGCTTTCGCCCACTCCCACCCCCAGAAAGGGGCTCTGCTGGAGGCAAGGTCATGGCCCCCCAACCTCTCCCCAACAGCACCATTCCAGCAATGACGGAATTCCAGAAACACACTGACGGAGGCATTGAAATGAAAACATTTGTCCCTGTCTTTTTTTATCACATTCTTAAGGTTAAAATTCCTCCTCCTCAGGATGAGGATGGAGAAGGGGAGAAAATTGTGTTCTGGCTCAGTCTGGAGCAGTTCCCCTGGGGTCCTGGGGTGTTTGTGTTTTATTTTCTTTTTCCACCACAGGGCTAAACTTTAGCTGATGGGATTCCACAGTGAATGCAGACTTTGATGGAGACTTGGCGGCCTCTGAAAACTGATAGAACTATCAGGGTTCTAGAGATGATGATGATGATGATGATAGTAATAATAGCCATTGTTGATTTAATGTTTACCACGTGCCAGGCAATGTGCTAAATTCTTTGTGTAGCAGGGTCCCCATCTTACCAAAGATTAAAGTAAGGTTCTCAAAGGATACAGGAGCGACCCATGGTCACATGGCCTGTAGCAGCAGAGCTGGGATTTGACTTGAAGTCTTTTTCCAGCACTTGAATCTTAACCATTGTTTCTAAAAGTGTAAGCCACAGATTCTTACAACTACAGACCCCTGAGCCCCACTTCAGACCTACTTAGTTCAGACTCCAGGGGTGGGAGGGCTGGGAATTTGCACCTTCAAGCCTTTGCCCCCTTCCCCACCGCTTTCCTCGCCCCTCCACCCCCAACCGCCCCTGCCCTGCGCTATCTGCCGAATTAGGGGATTTGGCATCTAGCCAATGTTTTAGAGCCTCCCTGCACCAGGTCACCCCACGCATGCCCACCCAAAGCTTGCCACATTTTTTGGACAGCAGCTACCTACAGCCTTCTCACTCTCTGCCCTTTGCCAGTTAGTTCCTCTTCCCTGCCCCCCTGTCCTCTGTACATTCCCCAAAAGGGTGAGGTCAGGCAGAAAAACACAGAATTGAATGGCCGGGAATTTCCAGCATGAGGCTAAATAATGGGCACCTGACCGCCACTGTGTGTGTGTGTGTGTGTGTGCGCGCCCGCGCACACATGCACATGCACATGCTCTGCTGCTCCTGTGAGTACAAGAATGCAGGAGACTGACTGACTACCCGTGCCCCATTCGCTTCTGCATAGTCATGTGCTTTTCTGGATAAATAATGTTTCACTTGCTGAGATTTAAGAAAAGATCTAGTGTCAGGCTGGCTTTCCGGGGCTGATGGCAAACTTCAGCAGCTGGGCCCATGTGGGATCGCCTTAATCTCACCAAATGGTGCCTGTGAACACAGGAGAATTCCAGAGCAGTGCATGTTTTGGAAGAGACGCCCCTCTCTCACCTTCAAGGGATCTGTTGCCCCCAGAGGACAGAATAGAATTACTTGTAAGCAAGCATCTTGCTTTTTAGCAATACAGGAGCAGAATATACAATGACATGGGGGTCTCAGGCTGCGTGACTTTGGGCAAGTTTCTTAACCTCTCTGGGCCTCAGTTTTCTCCTCTGTAGAGTGGGTGAAGATGTCATGAGATAATCCTTGCTTAGAAAAATGGCATACACATAGTGAGCTCTGGGTAAACAGAACCTATGATTATGAAATAGATATTTCCAGAGGGTTTGAAACATCCTGTTTCCACTGGCTTTTGTCATTGGATATCTAAACAAGACTACGGAATTATAAGATCTCTATAAAGAAACACAGTCTTCTTAGTTTTCAGTAAAGTAGGGTGAAGAAGTGTTATGGTGTCATTAAACAGATACGAATAATTTATATATTCCCCCAAACTAAAAGACGCTGTTCAAGTCAATGTAACTTTTCTCCTTTAAATTGTTTTTGAACTTGGCAAGGTCAAAAAACTCATGAAGCCCAAGTGATTAAAAGCAGACTAGCAAGATGTCTGAATCTTAGATTTGGACAGAAAGGCAAGTTTCTTCATTGTCAAGTCCTTGGAGACTGCGGTAGTCAGTCTCCCTGAATATTTCTGGCTTGCTGTCCCCTAGGCACTTGGGAGGGCTGCTTTTCCCGCCCCCTTGGGGTTGGTGGGGGCCAAATGACCAGGTGCGGCTAGTGAGCTGGAAGTGAAAGTGATGAGTGCCACAAGATTCAAACATTTAACTGTTGGTGAGAAAACTTAATTCCTCTAGCCCAGCCCCTGGCCACTTTCCAGAAAATGATGGCATCATTATCTTGGTCTCCAGAGTAAGGGTGACTCAGGGCCTCCAGCTGTGGAAAGGGCCCAAGCTAATCTACGGGGAAGCAACCGACCCTTGTGGTTTTAAGCCACTGAGAGTTTGAGGTTAGTTATTGTAGCATAACCTTGCCTATCCTGACTGATAGAGCAACCAGGAAGAGAAAGTACTTTGTTCCTTGGACTCAGGAGGAACGGCTTGTCAGCAACCTGCACAAGGCTAACAAAAGGCTTGAACACACTCCGTAACTGGGTAGGCTTTCATCATGTAGCTTGGCCTCTTGATTAGCTCTCTTTGCAGACAGGGTGAAGGTCAACGTTAGCTTGGCTAGCTGTCTATGGATTTATTTGGAATTCTCACTGAATGGGGTTGGAAAGAAGGGTTTTATAGTTTCCCTGAAATACAATTGGTGCGCGGAAGTTCTAATGGCTCAGATATGCTGCCAGTCACTTCAGCAAACAAGGAAGTAAATAGGGAGAAGAATATTAACATTGCTGAGTACAAGCTGTTTCCCAGACGATCTGGGTCAACCAGTCTTTCACATACCTCCTAAGCCCAGAAGCCTGTCGGCACAGAAATGGGTGTTGTTACATTGTCCTAGGAGCTGACACATGCACTTTCTGTCTCTGCAGTTTCCTGGAGGATTTCAACTGGTCTGCTGTCTCCAGCCTCATCTCTCCTGATGCTGGTCCCCTAGTTCTCGCTCCCCATCCCCCCCAACACCTTTGGCCCCACATTTTCTCATATTCTCAAGTCAGTCTTCTCTCTCACACCTCTGAGTCATTGCACTAGCTTTTTCCCTGCTGGAATAACTTCTCCCTTTACTGTTACCCTGGCTAACTCGTACTCATCCATTGGTCTCAGTTTAGACTTGTTAGCTTAATGAAGGTTCTCTGCTATGGGGACTCACCCCACCTGTGTCCATCACATCCTTCAGGTGCCTCAACTATAACTATACCTGCTTGTTTCACTGTGCTTCTGTAAGGTCTGTGGGGTCAGGAGTGTGTGCGTGCATGCATGTGTGTGTGTGTGTGTGTGTGTGTGTGTGTGTGTGTGTTGTTTTGCTTTGTGCCCCAGGGACCGCCACAGGTCCTGGAAGGAGTGAAAAAGAGAAAGCCAGAGTTCAAGGCATCTGTGTCCATTGGCATGAACTGACCTGGTGTCAGGTCCATACTGCTTTTCTGATTTATGGAAAGCCCACCTGCCCATGTGGGGAGCTGCATTTCAAGGCATTTCCTGGTGAAAAATATTTAATTGCCTCAAAGGGATGTCAGAGACTGAAAGTGGCCATCTGTGAAGATGTGTCCAAGTCACTCCAGAACCCCTCTGACACTCCACCGTCACATCCTGGTCAAGAAATTGCTCCCCGGGCTCAGCCAGGACCCCCAAGAAGCCTGGACTGGGTCAAGGTTCTAATTGTCCCCCAAATTCCCCAGAAGAATGAGCAGGTAGAGGGGCAACCTAGCAGCTTTGGGACAGTGGTCCTAATTTTGTGAAGTTCACTGTCCCTGTCACACACCACTGTGAACCTTTAAATTAATTTTCTCATTTAATCCCAGTTCCAGCTCTAAGGTAGGTCCTAGTAACACAAGCCCTATTTTCCAGACTGAAGTGCTGAGGCAAAGAGAGATTAAGGAATTTACCCAAAGTTACATAGCTAGTAAGTGACTAGGCCCATGAGCAGTCCAGCTCCAGAAAATCCACTCTTTTTTTTTGTTGTAAATTGTGGTATAGTTATGTCTATATAGTTACATATTATATAAACATATTGTTAGAACTACATACTAAATAGTTATTGCACAAAATAGCTTACAACAGTGAAAAGAAAGAAATACATTGGCACCTGTCAACACACATGACTCTCAAGTACAACACTGCGAGATGTGGAAGTACAGACACAATATGATAGTATTAACATCAAGCTTAAAAACACGTATAAACACTGCTATATATTGTTTACGAACGTACACATATTCGTTAGTAAACTATGAATACATTCATGGGACTAATGGAAGCCCAATTCAGTTTCCTTTAGTCCATGGAGGGATGGATTATAAGAGGCAGTGGGGCCTCAATGGGTGGTAATATTTCCCTCTTAACCTGGTGGGGGGCACATGGGTGTTGTTAACAATGCTGCTGCCCCTCCCAGAGCCCCACTCCCGTCAGCTGCTTTCACTTCTTACTCGCACCCTGGAGCCCTGGTTTGGGCAGGTAGAAGCTGCCCTCCTGGGACTTTGCCTGAGGTCACACCTTTGCTAGGCTTCTGTCGCTTCTTTGCACCTCGTGCTCCCACTCTATACCCATCGCCCCTGGAAGCGCACTCATAATGAACCTAACCTGTGACAACGGAGAGAGCCAATCACCCCACTCCCCAGCCTGCAGCCCAGAGGGAAGGCAGGAGTGAGGAGGCGCTGGCTGGGGGAGAAGGAGTCGGATGGGCCAAAGGGTTTCCAGGAGTAGATGGGAAGTGGAGGTGAAGGAAGGCCAGCCTCCTAAGTAAATCTATGCATTCAATGTGATCCCAATAAAAACACCAAATTATTTTTGGAACCAGATTAGGTAGTTTTAGGTTCAGTTTAACAAAGCAACGCAATGAGTCAGGAGAGCTAAAGGAGCCCAGGCAAGGCAGGAAGGAGGCAGGACCCTACGGGAAGACAAGTGGGCTTGAGGAGAAAGCCCCCGAGTGTGGAAGGACAAGCCACAGCCCGTCTGGCTCTGGGCCCGGAGGCTGCTGAAGTGCCGGCTTCACTCTGGAAAGGGAATAGGGCTTCCGCCTCCTCTGGGGGCTCATGGTCCCAGCTCTGGACCCTGCTCAGAAGCAGGCACACCCCCTCTGCCTCCGGGAAGAGCCATGATCCTGGTAGGACTGTGCCACATGTCAAATCGCCAAATGCTGCTGGCTTTTTTTGCAGTGGCTGAGGTGGGACAGGAATGCTAGGACATCCCCAAGCCTTTCAAAGGGGACAGATCCTCAGACTTCTTAGAAATGGTGCCATGCTCTTTCCAGAGGCCAGGCTCTTAGCGCTGACCCTGGTGCTGAACAAACCCTCTGGGAGAACAGAGGGTCCCAGGCAGGCTACAGCAGATTTCTGACTTCTAAAGAAAGGGTCTGTCATTGAACCCTGAGGGGTGAGCCTCGATTTGGTCACTGGGCAGTGCAGCCCTCGAGTTGTCCCAGGGCCATTGGGAGGCCAAAGACCTGCCTGTGAAATAACTTGAAGCAAACGCTCCCTGGTAAGAGGTAGTTGGATTGTAGCAGTGAATTAAAGGAACTGATTTATAGAGCTGGAGTGGAAGCCCAGATGAAGTCTGGAAGTCCAGGCATGAGAGAGAGGGAGACAAGTCCATGGGTAAGAGGGAGACTCAGTGAGAAGTGCTTATGGGTTCGGCTTCAGGAACAATTCCAGCCACTGATTCATCTACTCACTGAGTTCAACAAGTATGGATGGAGGGCCTACCACGTGCCAGGGTATATATGTCATTGAACAAAAGAGACAAAAGGCCTCTGTCTCATGGACTTATATTCCTGTGGGGCGGAGGTTGGGAGGATACAAGTGGGAGACAAGCAACAAACAGCAGACATAATAAGTAAGTGTATTAGGGGATGGTAAGTATTACAGCAAAAAAGAAAAAGAAAAATTAGAGCAGAAGAAGAGGTGGGGGTGGGTTGCAATTTTTAAATAGGGTAAGTTTCATTGAAAGGTGACATTTAAACAAAGATTTGAAGGAGATGAAAGGGTGAGTCATGCAGGTACCTGGGGAAAAAGAACATTTCAGGCTGAAAGGACAGTCTGTGCAAACAGCTGAAGGAGAAAGAGTGTCTGGCATGGTGGAGGCACAGCAAGGGGGCCAGTATGGTTGGGGCAGAGTAAGTTATGGGGCGGGGGCCCGCAAAACACACAGGGCCTCATGGCCGCTGTAGGGTCTTTGCCTTTTCCTCTGAGTAGGATGGGGAGCCACAGGGACATTCTGAACAGAGGAGACTCCCATTCCCTGTGGCCACTATGCTGAGAAGAGATTGTAGGGGACAAGGATGGAGGTAAGGAGATATCAGGAGACAGCATAGGAATCCAGTGGAGACATGATGGGCTCTGGGTGAATTCTAAAGGCAGAGCTGGGAGATTGCCTGACAGATGGGAAGTGGGGGGTGAGAGAAAGAGGCGTCAAGGATGGCACCCCGGTTTCTGGCTCGAGTAACCGGAAGGAAGGGGATGGCAAAGAACGGGGGAGTAGCCCTCTTTGTGGGAGTGGGTGGGAACTAGGATTCAGCCTGGGACTTGGTGGGTGTGAGACACCTGCTTAACACGTTGAATAGCTAGCTGGCATACATGTCTGGAGTTGGTGAGAGAAAGCTGGGATATAGATGACATTTAAAGTCAGGAACACATACTGTTTGCCAGATATAGGCACTAAGGCAGTTGCCATGAACCAAACAAAGTCTTCTAATGTAGTTACAATTATTATTTTCATTTTGCAGATGTGGAAACTGAGGCTCAGAGTGAAATGACTTGCTCAAAGCCTCACAACTCATTGATAGCAGAGCTGAATTCACAGCCAGTTACCCGATTGAGAGTCTGCTCCTGAGCCCTCGGCTCCACGATGACCCCTTGCCTAATTCTTCACGGCATGTCCTATATGAGACATGGATAGAATTTGGTTTGGGGGGTGGGTGACCCAGAAAAGAAGAGGACAGAAGCAACAAACCAAGTCACACAGTGAGGGAACATCCTGATCCTCGCGGAAGTTGAACTTTGGGGAGCTGCAAGATGAGACTGGATGGGGAGGGATGGACCAGACTGACAGCAGGGCTTAAATATTGGCCTGAGGAGTTTCAAGTGGAGGGGGTAGGGAGCAGGGGGCCACTGACAGTTCTTGACGAGGGGCTGTATGTAGTGAGAGCAGCCCTTGAAAGAGACTCATCAGACATGGGCATGCAGGCTAGACAGGGTCGGGAGGGATCAGAGAGGAGGAAACGGGCCTGGAAGTTATTGACACTATCTGGGTGCGAAGGCTTTGGGTTGAGTCAGTGGGAATGAGGAAGAAGTGGGGAAACTGAGCGTCACCTGAAGACATTGCTGAGTAGACACTGGGCCTGATGCGCTGCGGGGGCTGGAGGCCATGGATGAGTCAAGGACAACTTTCCAGACCAGGGGGGCAGATGAGGAGGTGATTAATGCTGCTGGTCTGAACAGAAAAAAGGGAAGTCGGTCGAGAGGGAACTCGGTCCTGACTTTCTTGTTTTGGGGCCGAATGAACCACAAGGGAACAGATTTCTGCTTCTCAGGAACCCACAGTCTAGTGTGGGTGACAGCTCTGCACAGAGCTGGCTGGACGGCACGGCAGAGAGAGCTAAGGCATCTGACAGTGCAGGTGAGAAATGGTCAGAGGACAGGCCAGGGCCCAGGTGGCTGTGTTTGATCCGTCACTAGTTGGGGCTGGGGACAGATTTAGGAAGCTTCCATCCCCGAGGTCAAAGGCCTGAGTGGATGATGTCAGGGAGGGAGAGAGGGTTGCTTGAGGTGAAAACAAACCCTAGGACAGAGCCCCAGGCATGCTCCTGCCACTTACTAGCTCTGTGTGTCCTTGGACCAGTTTTTTAACCACTGTGGTTGGCCCCCCGACTTCCTCATCTGTAAAATGTGGTTCTTACCCGCTAGGGCTGTTGTGAGGACAATGTAGACTCATAGATATGACTGCTGAGAACACTGCCCAGCTCGTGGTGAGAACTTAGGGATGTTACTGAGAAGAGAAACCCACAGAGCACTCACTCATTCGGGGAAGAACCATATCCCGAATCCCTGGGGGAGAAATGTCAAGAAAGGAGACGGTCCCAGTGATGAGAGGGAGATTCGCTGAACCAGCTGGAGACCAGGAATTTTATAGACATCATCTTAGTTAATTCTCCCAGCAACACCAGGAGAATTTTACATATGAAGACAGTGAGGTGCATAGGCTTGTCCTTAGCCACACAACCAGGAACAGGCAGGAGAGGGACTGGGACCAGGGTTGTGGATAACACTTCCAGAGCATCTGCAGCCCCAACGTGCTGTTTGTGAGGGGACGGCAAGTTCGGGGAGCGACTAGCGGGGTTTGAGAGGCCCAGAGAGAGTGTGTCCCTAGAGCGTCAGGGCCAAAAACCACACTCTACTAAAAGCTAAATCACAAGTTGGCAAAGAGGAAATAGACGTGGGAGGTGTAGACCACATATCGGAGAAGGTTGGTCATGAGTGAAAGGAGAAATAGGAAGACGGCATGTTGGGTGTTAGGAGGGAGGGGTGTTGAGGTCAAAGAGAGGTTTTATGGGAGCAGAGAGACTGGATTATGTCATCAGCAGAGGGGAAGGGGACCACAGGATGGGAGGGCATAAAGAGCCAGGGGGTGGGAGCGTCACTGCGGGGAGGAGGCCTCTTGGGGATGAAGAAGGAATGAGATCAAAGCCACAGATGAAGCAATTTAGGTTTGGCAGAAGGCAGAAATAGCCACAACCCACAAAGAAGTTGTAAACGAGATGGAAAAGGAGTCAAAGAGTACCTGGTTGAGTTCCTCTGCCTCATTCATGACAGGAGGATTCAAGTGTGCCTCGTGAACTGGTGGGACACACTGGATCAAAAATAATTTGTTCTGGAGTGAAGGAGCCCCAGTGCAAGTTGGGTCCATGTTGTAGTTCAGAAATGTGTAAGTGTCCCTGCATGCAGCCATCATCCATTAGCCCATTCACCTGTCCTTCCATTCACCTATCCTTCCATCCATCTTTCTATCCATCCATCCATCCATCCATCCACCCACCATTCACTCACCCTTCCATCCATCCACTCATCCATTCAACCATCCACCCATTCACGCAATCACCCACCTCTTCATCCATTCGATAGACATATTTTATGAGCACCCACTGAGTGCTAAGTCCTGGAGGTACAAGTTGGAACACAAAACGGGTCCTATTTTCAAGGAATGCTCAGCCATAAACCAACAATCACAATGCAGTGTGGAGAGAGCATGATGGGGAAGTTAGTGACCTGAGGGCACAGAGGGAAGTGAGGGCGGAAGGAAGGGAGTGGAGGTTTTAAGCTGTGATCTGATACAGGGTAGGAGGGAAAAGGAGTGGGGTGTGAGGGAGCAAGGAGAGTGGGCTAGACAGAAGGAACAGCCTGTACAAAGGCTTGGGTGTCACTGAGAGCCTGGCATTTTCCAGGAACCAAAAGAAGGTTGACACGACTGGAGCAAAGTGATGTGGTCAGTGGTGGGGCTGGGGACAAAAGTGGAGGCTGGAGAAGCCGGCAGAAATCTGGACTTTATTCTCAGAGCAACGGAGAGGCATTGAAGGATTTTGAGAGGGAGGAGACTTGCTCAGGTGTGTGTTTTGGGAAGACCCCTGAGCTTTAGGGAGGAGGACAGACTAAGGGGACAATCCTGGAAGCTGGGAGGTGAGTGCAGGGCTGTGGTCCAGCAGAGAGATGAAGGGAGAGCCCACGTGGATGGTGAGAGGATGATGGATTCAAAACACATCTTGGTGGTCGACGCAACAGGTCTTGCTGATTGAATGAGGGAGGTGAGGGGTGACCCTTGTGTATCTGACCTGCGGAGTCAAGGAGGCCGGCAACCTGTCAGGAACGACTGACTCATCAGTGAGCACGGCAGGCCCTGGGAACAGGGGAATGGGACACATTCTCAGATGGGGGGATGACGATAACATGTGGGGCCTTCACCGCTCAGCCCCCATGGGGAAGGCAGCTGTCAGAGGATGGAGCTGAGTGGATAAAGACGAGATCCTCGCCGAGATGCTCTGCGAGAACCTGGGCAAGCTGCTGCACCTCCTGGAGCCTCAGCTGACACGGGTGTGAACTGTGGTGACAATTTTTGCCACCCCAGCGACAACTGTCATGTGCAATTTGAAGATGATAGAGCCTCCACCCCATCAACCTGTCCCCTGCTTTGAGTTCTTGGCCCTTGTGACAGCAGCGTCGCTGGTCCCGCCCCAGCCCACAGGAGAGCCAGGGGTAGGGCAGGAACCTTCCTTCCCTTCCTTTTAGGCGGAAGGACCCAGGATCCAGCTGGTTCAACCCTTCAGGCTAAAGCGGGGTGGGGAGGTGGGGGTGTCGCACCCCTCCAGCTGGTTTTACCCCGAGGGGACTCCCCGTGGCAGCAGTCTTGGGGCTGGGGCAGGAGTGGCAGGTGCATAGGCAGTGTGTCTGGCCGGTTTGAGTCAGAGGCGTTGAAACAGGGAGTCGTCGCGTCCTCCCACTCAGATCCAATTCCTCTTTGACTCTGACATCCTAACTGGTCCATGTCTGGGCTGCTTCTCAGCCTGTGCCCCTGCCTTTCCTCCAGCCGGGGTGCCCTGCTACCCCTTTGTAGAGATCTGCCTCATTGCCGCCTCCTCCAGGGAGCATTCCTGCTTCCTCCGACGGACCTCTGAATCTTAGAGTCCTCACAGCACCGTAAAGTTTTATTGAGGCCCTTATCACAGGCCCAGACTCCAGGACATTCCATCTGGAAGGTCCCTTGGACTCTATTTCATAGCTGGAAGAACCAAAGAGGAATAAGTCAGTTAATCTTTGGTGAGGAAACCACCTCAAAAATGTCCCTGGTCTCTGTGGCCTCCCAAGTAAGGCCAAAGGTGTGCTCAGCCTCCCACGGTTTCTCCCACGCACCTGCTCGGTCTCACCTCCTTGCCTTTTGGTCCTGTATTCACTCAGTCAAGCCTCCTGGAAAGCCCACTGTGTGCCAGGCACTGTGCTTGGCGCTGGGGATGCACATGGTGCTGGCAAAGCAGACATGCCCCTGTCCTCACGGAGCATGCTGTCTCGGTGTCACCTTCGGGCTATTTTGCCCACTGGAGTGCCCTAATTTATCTCTGCACATTCCCGCCTCTGCACCTTTGCTAAGCACGTCCCTCATGTGGAATGCCTGCCCCTCCTTCTCTTGCTATGAGTTCCCACCCACAAGGCCCAGCTCACTGGCCTCCTCCTCCAGGCAGCCTTCCCAGTTGGCCCAGAACCTCTCCCTGCTCTGGGCCCCGTGGCCCTTTAGCTCACCCGCACATCCCTATGTGGGGCCAGGTCTTGTTCCTCCAGCCCGCCAGCTTCAAACTCCCCCTAAGGCAGGGGCTGCATCTGGCCTCTGCCAGTCCCACAGTCCCTGGCACAGCTAGGCACACAAGAGGTGCTCACTGGTACACTTGCTGCTCTGTTCCCCCCCCCCCTACCCCGCTGCCAGGCAGCCTGCACCAGCCCAGAGCTAGTGCAGACCCTCTGCTTCTGTTGTTTTCACCGGTTCCCTAGAAGGGACAGGGGAATTTGAGTCCTTCCAGAGAAAAGTTCTGAGTCTGCAGCAGAACAAGGGGGACTGGAAACCCACTCGGGGAGTTTCCCCAGCAGTGGGGGTTGGGGCCTCACCGTTAACAAACTGCTACTCATCGTAACAGTCCTCTGTTGTCTGGCACAGAGCATTCGGTGGGGGGTGGGGAGAGCAGTGGCTGTGGCAGGTGGAGAAGCCACAACACAGTGGGCAGCAGCCCCTGGGCAGAGGCCATAGAGACACCTCACCTGAGAGGGGAGGCATCAGCAGGGACACACTCCCTCGGTTTCCTCCTAGGACCCCGGCCTTCCCCACGTACCTCTGGGCTTTGGTGTTTCCTCTGGGCCCAAAGCTCTGTCTCCAGGCCAGAGCTTCCCTGTCCCCAGCCAGAGTCACCAGGGCACCAGCACCCCTTCCCCAGCCCACCTCCTTTGATTCATTAGGTTGGGGAATGCTGGGTGTTCTGCTGTTAGAGGTGGAGGTTGTCCCCCCACTTCTGCAGGAAGCTGGAGTCAAACATGAGCACAAGCAGGAAGACCCCACTCCCCTCCCCTCCATTGCATGGAAAATGGAAGCCTGTTCTGGGGACAGGAGGCATGGCCCAGCCAGGTGGGTGGCGGGGACAAAGAACCAGGCTGTGACTTGAGGAGTGGGCAGAGTTCGGGGTCTCTGGCAGGTGATGTGACCCTAAGAGAAGCAGAGAAATGTTCATGTGAGGTCCTCTGGAGAGGACCCCATTTTTCTCAGATTTACCCTGGGACAGTCCAAATGTCCCTCTATAGGTGATAAAACAGGCTCAGCGAGGGTCTGTGAGCTGCCTGAGGCCACACAGCGAGACCATGACAGAGGATCCTGCTCACAGGGAGGTTCTGCATGGACAGGGGGACTCCCTGCCCCCAGGAACTGAAGCAGCCTTAGCCTCCCAAGGTGGCCCTGGGGGAGGAGAAGCACCTGGCCTTTCCTTCTTATGGTCTAGTCCAGTGTCATGGTTTCCTCTTGCAGGTTCTCCTGATGAGGATGGGTGAGGCTCCTGTCTTAGCAGTGCTCCTGGTAGAGTCTGCTATCAACAACCACTACCTGCTATTGCTATCATCACTGGTAATGCAAATTTAATAATGGCTCGATGATGAACACAGGGCTGACTGTGAGATGGCAAATGGGTCTGACACCATGTTGCAGGGACGGTGTCATTCTGAGCTGCCTCAGTTAATTTGGGGACACGGTGGAGCCAGGCCTATGTCCCACATGTCACAATCAAAGCCCAGGTCCACCCTGCTAGATGCTGCTCTGGACTTCCAGTAAATTAAGGGACTCTCACGCTCTGGTCCAGGGGAGCTTGAAGCAGATGATTGGCTATTTTCCCTGGTGACCACAGGGTTGGCCCGAGGCAGTGATGCTGTGGCCCATGGGTTCCTGCAAGTCTGCCCAGGGCCTGGCTCGGTCTGGACCCTGAGCGCGTGTCTGTTGCAGACTTGGCTCTGCTGGGAGCCAGAGGCATCACCACTCACGGATCCTTTCCTTCTGTTCTTCAACCTAGAATGAGATGCTGCATTTGTGGGAATGTGGCTTCCCAATCTATGCAAGTGCAAATTTGGACTAAATGTTGATTAAAACCTTTCTGCCTCTGGTCTTCTGTGGTTCAGAGGAAGACCATGAACTTGAATTTGGGGAAGGACCCACAACCAAAGTTGTCTGGGCTTCAGGGCTTTCTCAGAATGAGGTGGAACTGTGACCCTCCCTGCAAAGAGACAGCCCGCCACCCCTGGGGAGGCCTTTCTGCACCCTGAACCCCTCCTGGTCCAGATTAAGCAGCCCCTCTTGGCCCTGCCTGGCTGTCCTCCCCTCCCCCTAGGGCATTGTACACAAAGGAGTCTCCCCAGGCTCTGAGCAGGGATGAACCCAGTTTAAGATCGAGGCTTTTCTATTATGGTAATTGAGGAACCAAGAAATGTCCCCTGCAAAAGGAGAAGTGTGTGTTGTTGTGGCCCCTGGACACCCCTACCCCACCTCTGTCCCAGTTGAATGCCCATTCTCTGGAAAGCCACAAACATTCCAAGGCAGGACTTCTACTGAATCATCTCAAATTCTCTGAACTTTACTAGTCGAGGAAAGGATGTGGGGGAGGTGGTTGGAGGAGGGGCGAGATATCCAATGAGGTTAAATAGGTGACCTCCATACTTGGCCCTCATCCTTGTCTCCCCTGAGCAGAGGAACCCACATTCTCCTGGGCTCCCGGTGCCATGGCCACACTGAAGATGCTGCTCCTGGTCACCCTTCTCCTGGGGGCTTCTCTGCAGGACACCCATGCAGGTGAGGGCAGCGGAGGGGCGGGCGCTGAGACCACAGCAGCAACACACACGTATTTGTGTATTATTTGCACCCCACTTATTCTTACAAAGATGTGAGAGGCCGGCAGCAATGGAATTTTGAGGGAGGCATTCAGAGGAAGATGATGATGAAGATGAGGAGAAGGAGGAGGAGGAGGACCCGGGCGCCCCCGTGCTTGGGGACTGACTTGGTGAAGAAGAAAGGGTGCGGGCGTCTCACACTGCAATAGTGGGAGGCAATGACTATCGTTGTTTTGACAGTGAAACGTGAGCAATTCTCAAAAGTATTGGTTAGCATCTGTTTTATGACTGGGTCCTGCACGCCATGAGGGAATCAGCATGCTAGCAGGAGAATTGGTTCCCAGAGGATGTGAAGAAAGAGGAGGTTGTTACCTTCAGTTGGGAAAGGAAGGCTGAGCTCAGCCACAAAGCCCGTGAGTGCCCTGCCTGGCAACAGAACCGCAGCCTCTGAGGTCACCCTCTCAGCTCTGAGAGTGAGTCAGACCAGGTTGCAGCCCAGAGATGGTCAGAGGGCAGTTGGGGCTTCTTAGAAATCAGCTAGTGTGGTATTATCTAAAGCCCCAGGTCACCAGTTTGCCTATTTGCAAGTGTTGGATGTTTGTTGTCATGCAGAGACGAGAAAACTGAGCCCCGGGAAAGGCCTGGACACATCAGGCCGGGTTATCATCTGTAAAATGGGGTAGTGATAGCACCTGTCTCCAGGTGTGTGATGAGCACTGAGTGAGCTGCTGCCGGGAAAGGTTCAGCCCAGAGTACACATGTGCTGGTTCAGGGCTGGTATTGAATGTGCACACACAGACGCACACAGAGGTACACGCAGATATAATGCAAATAAGCATGCATGACTCCCCCAAACACACAGACACACACATACACACACACACACACAGATACACACGCACACATAGACACATGAAGAGGCACATTCACAACAGACACACACACAAACCCTCCCAAACATACACAGATACATGCACATACAGACAGGCAAATACACAGGGCCTCCCAAAGTCCACACAGAGACCTCAGGCACACAAATGTGCACACGTCAACAAAGACACATGAGCAGGCCCCTCACATAGTCCCCACATAGAAAAACACTCACAGCCCTCCCATAACAAACACCCAACCAGACATAGACACGCACACAACCCCTCCCCCCACAAACATGGGCTCACTCCCATGCCGCATCGACACACACACGGACATGCACAGACCCACCACAGACCCTCCTCACAGCCACAAAGCCACCCAGGTCCCCCCACACAGACACTCACAGACACACCTGCTCCTGTTTGTGTCTCTGTAGCTCGAGCTACCAATGTGGGCCGGGAGTGCTGCCAGGAGTACTTCAAAGGAGCCATTCCTGTCAAAAGGCTGAAGACGTGGTACAAGACCTCAGCAGAATGTCCCATGCGTGCCGTCGTGTAAGTCTGCCCCCCAAGTCCCTGCTCCTGGGGGCTGAGTGTGAGAGAAGGGGGACCCTGGAGCTCCAGAAGGGCCCCTAGGGAGAGGAGAGGAGAGAGTGGGGCCTTCACTGCCCCCTCCGTCACCCTGGCCCTGCTCCTCAGGGCAGGTCCTGCACCCCACACTGCAATGCCCAAAAGGCCCCCAGGCCACAAGGTCCACCCTCCTCATTGATTGATGGGGACACCGAGGCCCTGAGAGAAATGGAACTGCGCCGTGTCACACAGGCAGTTGCAGCCCATGTAGTCACTTCCCCTGGCCTGGGCCTGAGCCCGCTGAGGAGAGCTCCAAGCGCCAGGCACCTCCCAGGCTGTAGGTGGGCTGGGCTGTCTGAGGTTGGGGGGCACAAGGTCCTGCAGCCCTGGCTCTCTGGGAGGGACGAGAATCACCGAGGACAGAGCCTGGGGCCCCAGATTTCCCACTAACCCCGTGTGACTTCAGCAAGTCCTGGTCAGTGCAGGGTGAGGCTGGTCCCAGGGCTCTAGAGGGCCTTCCCGCCCTGACACTCTTGATGGTTTTCTCCTTCCATGTAGGTTGGTAACTGTTCTGGGCAGATCCATCTGTACAAACCCCGATGACCTGAGGGTGAGGAAGGCAATCAAATACTTGAAAAACACCATGAAGTCACACAATTAGGTGTTCTGATTTCTCCCCGGACCATTTGGAAACTTCTGGAGGCCTCAGTGTTCGCTGCCCCAAACCCCAGCTGCTTGGGTCCAGTGAAGGCCCTACGAGGACAAAGAGGACCCCAGGTCTCCTTTTCCGAACTGGAACCATGGCATGAAAGGACTCCGATTAAAGTCTCTCTCCCTCAGTCTGGGTCAGCGTGTTCTCTCTGTCCATGATGTCACACTGAAAAGGCCCTCAGAAAAGATCTGGTCTGCCCTGTCCAGGTCAGAAAGGGAAGAGAGGCTCAGAGGGGGACATGGCTGCAGGCCACACTCGAGCGAGGGGGTGCCTGGTGAGAAAGGCCCAGGCAGGGGTGGGGATGAGGGGGTCCGTGGGATAAGCAGGGCAGGGGTGGACAAGGGGCTTTGCACCTCCTCTCTGCCTTGCACCGGCAGGGGTTCCGGAAAGGCTTGTCTGGGCTCTCTCCCGTCTTGTCTGCCCCTGAAGTCCTCCAGTTTACTCCTAGGCTAGCCCTTGTGCGAGGAGCTGAGGACACAATTCCACGAATGTCTCCAGGCCCCTTCCTCGTAGAGGTTCCCGGAGTGCTGGGGAGCTCCCTGGCCTGGGGGTCCTTGCGCCCCTCCCTATCTTCCCCACCTTCCACACACTGCAGTCCAGCTGGCCCAAAGAACCTTTGCAAGACCCACCTCCTCCCAGCTCAAACCCCAGGCTGGGTTCCAGGGCCCACGACCTCTGCCTGCTTCCAGGCTGTCTGAGGTCTGAGCCAGCTTCACTTCCCATTGCACTCAGCCCTCGTCTCTGGCTCCAATCAGTCTGCCCCACCCTCCCAGCACAGACATCCCACCCAGCCTCAGCTGGAGCCAGCTTCCAGGAAGCCTTCCCTGATTCCTCCAGCTGTCGCTTTCATGAACGGTAGGGCAGCCTTCTCCCATTGACTCCTGTGTGGGTCTGTCAGTACTGACTCCTCCAATAGGTTGGGAGCTCTGTGAGCCACTCTGGGGACCCCACAGCCCAGGTGCTCAGAAGCATGGGGATGGGGAGGTTACAGATCATCACCCTCAGACCCCTCTATCCAGGCCCAGCTCAGGGCTGGAGCCCTAGTGTGCAGGTGGAGTCAGTCTTCAGATTCTAGCTCTGCCTCACTCTCCTGACCGGCCATGGGCTCGTGGCTTCTCTCTGGGATGCAGTCTGGGGGCAGAGGCTTGGGTCCTTCCCTTCCTAGGATTCTGTGACCTGCATTGTTTCAGGGACTAGCAGTTATTTTCAATCAGTTTTTGTCTCCTGCTGCCCCCTTGTGGCCAGTTGTCTTATAGCAGGCCAGATGGCTGACTCAAGCCCACTTTGCAGTAGGGGCAGGAATAAAACAACAGTAATAATAATATCAGGCTGCTGCTGCTGATGAACTGGCTTCTCTGTGACCCCAGGGTCCCCTCTGCCACAGTTGGGCTCTTCCCCTGCTCAGATTCTGAGGAATATCCCTCAAACAACTGCCTCGGACCCAGAGTCCTGGGGGCAGCCCAGCCTGAGTTCTTTGTGGGATCCACTGGGCCAGGCGTGGAGGAAGGATGATCTCAAAAATGGAGGTGGGAGAAGGAACCCCTGCCACTGCAAAGGACAGCAAGGGCTGGGGCGCGGACGCTTCACCCTGCAGGCCAAAGCTGGGAAGTCGCTCAGAACATGCGTTTCACCCAGTGCACTGCAAAATTGTCTTAAAAGCAGCAAAACCTTTTCATCCCAGTGAGATCTCCCTCAGAAGCCCATACTGTAAATGCAGGTAAGCAGAGCTGCTGTGAAGACCAGAGGGGGGCGGGGGTGCTGTGGGTGGGAGACGCAGGTGATGGGCCAGTCATCAGCTCCCCTGCAGGGTCAGGGCAGGGAGGTGAGGGCTCTGTTCCCGGCTAGCTAGTGGGCATTTTCCTTGTGTGTGGGTTTTTCTAGTTTTTAAAATGAAATGTCTTATAAATACAAAATACATGATGTATATATAAGAAGTACAAACCAGTAATAAAAATAAACACCTGTATACACACCATCCAGCTTAAAAAATGGAACCTTCCTGGGGCTCTTTTGTCCCGTTCCCCCCTCCCTATCATCGTCATCCTCCCATCAACCTCCAGAGACAACTATGTTCCCGAGTTTTATCATTCTCCTTGATTTCCTTGAGTTTGTCACATGTGTATATACATATATGTATGTATGTATACATGAATAATTAATGCATTTTGCATGTTTTTAAACTTTTGAACTTCATGTAAAGAAGATAACAGATTTCACACACACGCTCTTCTGTGTCTTGTTTTTGTGGTTCCAGGTTCTGTGAGGTTCCTCCATCTTGACGTGTACACCTACAGCCCATCATTTTGCACCACACGTCAATACAACTCATTCATCCATCTCTTGTAAACGGCCATGTGCTTTATTTCCAGGCTCTTGCTATTACAAATAGTGCTGCTTTGACGTTTTTAGCTTGTCTTCCGGTGCATGTGTACAAGAATTGATTTCTCTAGGGCAGTGGTTCTCAACCGTGGATGCCCAACCTGTGAAAGCTTTCCAAAATGATGACACCCTAAGCTCTATTCCAAAAGATGGACTTAACTGGTCTTTGGAGAGGAGGGGCATAGGCGTTTTTGGTTTTTTCGGAAGCTACCAGGTGATTCTAATATACAGAGTTGAAACTGACACTATAGGGTGTAACTGTCCAAACCAATCCTCCCAATACTGTGGAAGAGTTCCCCCCTGGTAATGGTTCCGTGTAGCCTCCGCTGCCCCCGTCAGACAGCCGGCTGGAGGATGGGCAGAACGCAAAGCCTCTCTTCTCCAGCCCGCTAATCAGAGTGCTTCCTGCACACCAGCGTCTGTGAGGCTCTTCTTTCAGACCCGCTTGCGCACTCGGAACCTGTTATGAGGTGGGGGCGTGATTTTGCAACTCATGGAGAGCCCTCAGCCTGGAGCAGGTGTGACCTCACTTGTCCTCCCTTCTCTCCCTCTTCCCACTCCAGCTCCAAAGCCCCCGCCTTCAGCCCCCTTCCAACCATCTTGTGGTTCTGTTTCAGCTGTCTCCTAACCTCGGGTAAGGCGCGCTTTCCTCTGCCAACACCCCACTTACTGCATTGGAGCGGTTTCAGGGAGAAGGGGCAAGTCCCTGCTGCATGCTGTCAGGTGGTAAGCCAAAGACTGTAGTTTACCAAAAAATTTACATTTCCCCAGCCCCACCTCAGGCCTGACTCAGGTCCAGGCACCTGTATCTTTAGAGGTCCTCAGGTGATTGGTGGCAGCATCACTGTCTCACCTGGTGCTCTCAAATGTAGTATCTGAGACTGTTTCTGCTCTCAGACCTCCCCTCTGAATTACCGTCTTCCAAAGTGACAAGGTGCGAGGACTGTCAATCCCCTCCCACGTGTATTCGCTGTGCTGAGCTGTAGGTAGGCGCCAAGGCCAGCTGTGTGCTGCTGACTGGCCTCCCTCTGAGCCCTCATGTGGCGTGACCAGCAGCTGCCTACACGGGACCGTTAACCACGCCAAGTGTAGCGGACAGGAGGGAGTGTCATCCTTTTTGCAAGTAGCAGTGGGGACCCGGAACAAGGATCAGGTCAGCAAGGGCAGGTGGCATTTGCCCAGCACTCCATTAAATACCCCTCCAGGAAGCTCTTTGGCTCAGGGTTTTCTGTCCTCAACCTGCAGGTAGAGATTTTTGCCCTTCACCTTGGCAACTGCAGAAGCAACTCACAGCAGCCCTGCCAGGCAGCTCGATAAATACCTGTTAACATTAAAGCTGGTCTGGGGCTGTCTTCTTTCCTCCTGCTGCCCAACAAATGTAGTGGCTTAAAACCAGACGTTTATCCTCTCAGGTCCTGAGGGCTAGAGTCCAGGGACAAGGCTGGGCCTCCACACAGGGTCTCAGCAGGCTGGGCTCTCTCCTGGAACTCGGGTCCTGTTCTGAGCTCATGTGGTCGTTCAGTTCAGATTTCTGTTCTCGAGGTGTAGGGCTGAGGACCCCTTTCTCCTTGACAGTCAGCGGGGTCTGCTTTCAGCTCTGACAAGTTGCTTGCGGTTCCTTGTCTGTGGACCTCTGACAACATGGCAAATGGAGAAGGCAGCAAGAGAAACTCGATTCTCCAGTTCTCTTAAAGGACCAACTCTCAGGTCAGGCCCACTCAGGATAATCGCCCCTTTCACAGAAGCTCCCCTCACTTTTGCCACATAACCTAACCTAATCACAATAGTGATGTCATCACGCTCACAGGTCCTACAGGGGGTTGCACAAGGGCGTGGGGCACTGGGGGTTATCTCAGAACTCTGCTGACCACAGGGGCTTTGCAGTCAAACTAAAATCTAGAGATTCATCGTGGGTTTGGATTTCGGTCCTGCTTCCTCTAAATTCTCATCAACCTGGAATCTTCTAGAGAGATGGGGAGGCCCCAATCCCTAAGTGTAGGGCCGGCCCCATCTGTGTGTGACATTAAATCTCTCCAAAACAAAAAGTTCTGTGGTCCAAGTTGAGCTTGGATGGCTGTCAGACATCACACACACACACACACACACACACACACCCTCTTCACGCTGGCATGTGCAAGGATACAAGTTTAATACTGTAGATTAACAGAAATGACAACAGAACACAGGTATAATACACTAAAACAGGTAGGGTGGGGTTGAAAGGGGGTAGAAGGACACTGGCTATGACCACAGCAACCAATGAGTGATTCCTTTGGTGCCTGAGGTCATTGAGACACTTGACTCACGTCACCAGGAACTGCATGTTGAGTAAACCACCAACTCTGGAGGACAAGTAGTGGCGCTACTGCTGAGCTTTGAAGAGAGGCATGAATCCTCTTTGACGAGTGTTAATACTCAAGGACGTCTGGGCTCAGGGAGTGTTGTGGTCAGCATGTTGACACCGAGAGGAGAGCCTCCTCAGGACACGTTCCATTCCCCTAACACTAGTGAAGGAACAGGCCCCGCTCTGGGTAACCGGGCCCCGAGATGCCTTGGCCTTTAGATCCACAGCAGTACTACTCGCCACTACCCTACAGCCAGCTGCACTCCATCTACTAAGCAGCCTCCCGCAAATGGATTTCCAACAGAGAGTGAGCAAATCCAGAGATGGGAGGAACCGCAACGGTGAGCTCGGAGGGGCAGAGCTGTCCCATGCTGCGTCCTTCCTAGGCATCACTGAGACTGTTACTGCTCAGGAGCACCTGCTCCCCAGGTTTGAAGGCTGGCATCCCGAGGTAGGGGCAGCTGGCACAGCGGAAAGCGTCGCCCAGGTAGCACTGTCGAGAGAAAAGACAGTCATGCTGGGAAGCGGGTATCATCTTACCCAGAGATGTGGGCCAGAAGAACGGGGTCGCTAATTGGATAACATGGCCACGGTGGCCTGAAGGAAATGGCGGGTGTGTTTGTAGGTCCAACTGGGATTCCAAAACATTGTGTTCATGAGATCTCTGGTCTCATGAACACAATGGTCTAGAGAAGTTCCTTACGAGGCCATATTTGTATATTCTCCATAGTTCAAACCATAACCAAGCATAGCCAAACGGCTGAGTAGCCTTAGGCTCACTATGAAGTAGGAAGAAAGGGGCAAAAATAAGAAACGAGGGCCCCCACTCTGGGGATGAGCATGGTAACCCATTCTCAGGAGATAACCGCGCTCCCCCGTTATGACCTACATCATGTTCTCACATATTCGCTGATGATTAAAACATTGGGGCAGTAAATTCCTTGCAGCTGGAGCTAGTCTGCATGTAGTTTTAGGACGATGCCCAATACTACTGGGGTTTTGTGAATATTGGGTAATGATCCAGATATTTACGTTTCCACAAGCCGACTTGGATTGGGAGCTCATCTGGTCCCTTGATTTCTCTTTTTCCAGTTCTTCAGCAAGGCCACAAGTGCTGGGGGAAAACCAGTAACTAATGAGTGAGATTTGCCACCACCCAGAAACTCCAAATCCTTGCCAGTGCCAAAATGCTCTAAGACTCTTCTCTTTATACCAGGATGTCTGTAGCGCAAATGTCCTAGGTGGCCAGGCGGATGGCATAAATGCATGAGACTGTTTATGGAGACAGTAAGAGAGGTGAAGAATGGGGTGCTCAGTGGGGAGATGCCCTGTCTGCAAAGGGCGGCCACTACCCGCCATTCAACTCTCCCCAGCACACCCGGCGGAAGTGTCCGGCTTTGGTCTGCTCTGAGGACAGCTTAGGCTACGGTGAGCTGAGAGCAGAGCAGAGAGCAGCCCAGCCCCTCCAACCACCACCTTCCTGCTGGCCCTCTGGGCGCTGCCTCACACCACCGCCGCCAGGCGTTCTAACCGTGGCACGTCCCGGGTTTCCTAGAACTCGCTCATGACTCTTCCTGTTGACTTCCCTGGAAGGCGCTCTTGCAGATTCTCTAAGAAGCCAGACCAGAAGGCCCTGCATATCTTATGTTTCCCTGGGAGTCTTCACAGACGCAAAACGCTGACCTTTCCTTGCCTCGTCAGGTTTGGGCTTACTACTCAGTTCTTCACAACTAAATAATACACTGTTTAGATATTCACACGTAGGTGGTAAATTATGAAAAAAGCCAGAAATGATTAACACAAACTTGGGAGAATGGTAACCTCTTGTGGGGACGAGGGAGCAAGACGCAGCCGAGGAAGCACGCACAGGTGACTTCTAAGGTGCCAGCCATGTTCCTGATTCCTAGCCTGGGGATCTGGACATGGGTGTCCATGGTATCACTCTTTAACATGTGCCGTTTAATGCACTCCTCTGCATGTCTCGATCGCAGCGGAGTATGCGATTCCTTGACAGCCAGAGGCCCCTGGAGGCGGCATGGCAGGCTCTGCTCAGGCCAGCACTCACCAGTTCTTGCAGGCCTTCCTCTTCTTCCCTTCTCCACACGAAGGAGCCCGCAGGGAAGCCGGGTCTGGTTTCTTCAAGTCTTCTGGGTCCAGCAGCTCATCTGAGTCTATGAGATCCTGGAGAGTGTTTGAAGAGTTTTTGAAGAGTTAGCGACACGATTATGGTCTCTGCTAATGAAAAGCTGAGGTGGTCACAGGTTTACACCACCTGTGTATGGAGACACCCACCATCTTACTTTGGGATGATCACCAGCTCAAGCTGACCACCACAGGGAACCAGAGTGTGTGCACGGCAGATGCGGTAGGTTGTGAGGGGGCTGGGAACTGATTTACAATGTGTAGAGAATACAAATATATGTGTATGTGGGGGTGCGATGGGGGGAGCAGGAAGAACAAAGAGAGAAGTGTTATAGTTACGTGAATAGATGAAGGGCTGTCAGGTAAAAGAAGCGAATAAAATATTTTCTACATAATTCCAGAGAAAAAGGCCAATAATGATATACACATTTGTGTAATTCTTTGATCAATGTGTGGACAATTAATCTGTGAGCTCTGTGAGGGCACGAACCATAACCTAATTTGCTTGCCACTATAACTTCAATGGTTGTAGAAAGAACTTTATTATGGACAGCACTGATCAAAGATGAAAAAGTACTACTTTTAAGACAGTGAGTATTCAGTGACTTGTCCAAAGAAGCCAATAAAAATATTTTAGCTGACAAACTCTTTTCAGGTTTACACATGCCCACGAGAATCTTAAATATTAAATACATCACATGAAGTGAGACCAAAATAATCTGTGGGGAAAAGAGATGCTGAAAAGAAATTTAAGTGAATATAGAGTTTCCTTCTAATTCAAAAACTGCTGGTGACAGGTACAGCCACCATGCTGGGCTTTAAATACTTTCACACCTACAAGTCCAAAGAGGCCACTCCAAACTATGACCCTTCACACCAGAGGTGGGGCTGAAAAGAAAGCAACCACGTCATCAGTGCCGACTCACCATGCCGTCATCATCCATGTCATTGGCTGAGAGGGTCCAGAGCTTGGCAGCTGCAGGGTCCACAGCAGGTTTCACTGGGTCCAAAGGAAAAGAGCTCTAGAAAGCAGCCGGATACAAACTACAAGCAAACCTAAGTGCTTCCTATGGAGACGCTGCGTAGAGAACACACTGGACTGGGAGTCGAAAGACTTGGGTTTGAGGCCCAGCTCTACCACTTAAAAAAGGCATGACCTTGGACCAATCACTTTATGCTATAACAGAAGCCACCATTTGTTAAGCACTTGCTTTGTACCAGACTTTATATGAACTAATTTACATAATCATAGAATATAATCCTGCTAACAACCTGATGATGTAAGTATTTGTTGTCCTAATTTTATAGATGAGGAAACAGGTTTAGATGCTTAGGCCACTTACACAAAGCCTCAAATACAAGTCTGTCTAATACTTTTAACTTCCGTTCCATATTGATTTCTCTACCTTATCTTAGTTTACATCCCTAGAATGTGGGGCTAATGGTACTCCCTGCACCGACTGCAGATGATTTGAAGATTAAACGAGAAAGTGTGTCAAAAAGCATCATGAATAGCAAAGCTTTAGCCTTCCACAAACCTGTTACATACAATAAAAGAAGCTCTAGTGCTGATGGTAGCAGTGTAACACCAGTCAGTGGAAGATACAAACCTCACCCCTCCCGTGTCTCTGTCCAGACCAAGAGCATGCAAGGAAGGGCGGGAAAGGGCTGAGAACCCTGTTCAGTGTGGGGCTTGTCCTCCAATGGGCCTCGGGGGAAAGTGCACCCCCTAGTGACCACTGTCACAACTGCCTGCGCAGACCTCGCCCAGGGCAAACTGCTCATGTAGGCTGTTCCTACCCAATCTGGAACTATGAATCCAAAGGTTAGCTAGGATTCCTACCTGTTAGGCTGGACAGTCAAAACAGAGCAGTGTGAAGGTACCTACACATTTTTGCATATCTCACAGCTGGGACAATTTTCTCAATTCAGGCATTAAAAAACAGTGATAGGAAAGGTGAAGTGGAGGCAAAGAGAAGGGGAGTGTAATTTTCTGAGAAGTATCTTTACAAGTGTCTTAGGATCCTCAAAGTGAGAAGAGCCAGCTTTACTGGCACAGAAGCAAAGGACACATGGGAAGCGGAGCAGGCCCCCTTCTCTACCGTTACCACCACCAGGAGGTCTTCTGAGGAAACGTCAAAACCTGGGGCCTGGAAAGACTTCATTAACTCAACCATGTGACTCAGGCCTCTGGTGTAGAAGGGGCTGAACCGGATAATATCTACGCGTTACTTCAGTATGGGATCTGACAATGCCCAGGACAATAGTACATTAAGCGTTCTTCCAATTGGATATGACAGAAATTAAGGAAGGACTAATCCTCTGAAAATATCACTACCCCATTCAGATTTGGCTCAATTTCTAATCTGTCCTTCCAGGCCCAGTCAGGCAGAAGAATGTCCAGTCTTACCTGAAGGAGAAGACTTCTTGGCAATAGAAAGCTTAAGTTGACTAGAAGAACCCACTTCAAAGTTGGGTTTTTTGCCTGTGATCTGCACAGAGAGCAAGCTGTCACTATGGTAACCCAGGTGTTCTTGGACAGACTGTATCTCCTCGGGGCTCAAGGACTCCTGCTGTAGCTGGAATTCAAGACAACAGAAGGATTAGGCCACGCTCCTACAAAATGATGTTTTCTACTCTGTTCACCTACATAGACACCAAGTACTGATTTCCGCGTATTAAGTACACAGAATGGCAGAATATTATAATACCCAATATAACAGTGGGAGATGACGCATCACCTCATGCTGCACATCAGTTTCTCACTAATCACAACCCTGGAGTGTGATTTTGGCTACATGTGTACTTTGAGCCTACCCTTGGGAAGTTTCAAAGTATTTATTAAGTATCTGTCTATTAGGTATCAAGCACTGAGACTCTTTGTGGGGGTTGTGATGATCATGATTATAAAGATCAATCAGACATGGCCTTGTTGAATAGCATCCAAGCCTACAGCGGGGAAGCAGACCCGCCATAAAAAGAATGAAATTTATACCCTAACAGGAAAAGAACCACAGGGGGAGGAAAATGCTTCCTATGTTCCTGGGGAAGTAGCAGCAGACAGTAAAAGTAGAAAACCAGGGGGAGGTGCTACCTCTGTGTCTAACAATTTTAGAATGGTTAAATAAACCATAGTCCATCTATAGCACTGAATATTGTTAAATCATTAATAAGAATGAGGGGCAACACACTGAGAGCGATAAATGTCTGGAAAGCTAGTGACTGAACAACGTATACACATGACCTTATCTACGTTAAAAAATGTGTGTGTGTGTGTGTGTGTGTGTGTGTGTGTGTGTGTGTGTGTGTATACTTTAAATACATTAAAAGGTCTGAACAGCCATACAAAATATTGTATTGGTGGCTTCCTCTGGGGAGAGAAGTATGAGCAAGGACTGGGATGTCACTTTATATTCTCTAGTATTAATTGAATTTTTATGAGCATCCCTCATTTTAGAATAAAAAAGGGAAAACCTTAAACTAAAAAGGCAAATAAGAAAGGGTTGGCATGAAGAAACTACGGGCCTCGGTCGTGTAGCCAATCAGTGCTATAATGACTCTCATGATATAACACTTACCTCTCACACAAGAAAATTTCAACATCGGAGAAGAATGTAGCAATATAGAAACCTCTATTTAATTTAAATATTTCTATTGAATTGTCAGAAATGGGATTTTCCCCTCCAAACGCCTCCAGCCTCCCCCCAAACACCTGAGGATGATCTGGGGAGTGACTGCCTTCCACTTGGGCCTAGGACTCGCGTCCATTACGAGATCTGCGCCCCACTGTCTCTGCCACTAAACCAGTACTGAGACCAGAATGTGCCCAACTCACATGGGCCCTGGCTGGATCTCTTCAAAGGAGGTTTATTCCAGGGGCTTTGTCCTTTGAGGCATCATGCATCTCACATGCAAAAGCACTTCTCAACTTATTTCCCAGTCTAGGCGACACTGATCATCTCACCTTCAGGGCTGTTATTTTCCTGACTCTCTTTGTATCATCTGACAAAGAATACTGGGTTTAGTGACCCAAGGTTTAAATTCCCAGCAAAGAAGGTTGTATAACAACATACCTCTTTCACTTCCACAAGACCGGAAAGAGTCAGGGCTGAACACAGCTTAGAGGCCATCTTCACTTTGCTATTGTTAACTGCCAAGAGGAAAACCCCAATCAACAGCTTTATAGGTCAAAGTAGGAAAAACAATTAAGGTTCTATCCTATTTGGGTCAGCAGGCATTAAAACAATAATCAGCTACTATGTTTAATGTATATATAATTTAGTGGTAATATTTTAATTTAACTTGGCTCTTCAAAATTCTCTTATGAATTTTCAATGTTATATAGTAATTCCATTATTATTTCTTTTCACTATCACTCTCTGCTTCTTGGAAATATCTAACCTTCCACGGGTTGTTGGATAATGATTGAGAAAGAGGCTTAGAAACTAAAGTATACAAGCACTGTATCCTCTCTTTATAGTCTTGAGAAAAGAAACTGTTTAATCACCCAAGGTTTACATTCCCAGCAAAGAACCCTGATATCTACTATATATATCAAGTTCATATTTCCACATAAACACCTTTATACATTTCAAAATACTTTCACTTCTAGTATCTTATTTGATGAAATAAGTCATCACATTTTGATGGAAATTCTAGTTAAAAATGCTAAAAATTCAGAATTTAATAACTCTGTCATTTCACCACATGAGCAATAGAGAAGGATGTTTTTATTTCTTGAATTCTATCCTTAGTTTCACATGAATCAATAATTACCTCACCATTTCCAGACTTCCAGTCACCATTTTTTAAGTATAACTATGGATAACGGGAAGTTAAAAAAAGAAAGATTCAGGGAGGTTACACAACTATAGTATAGTATGAGGACCAGGAAATTGACATTCATAGGCCAAAGAGCTTATCCAGAATTCACCAGTTTTACATGCATGTGTGTATGTGTTTCTATGCCAGCTTGGTACACGTGTAGATTTGTGTAACCACTACCACAATCAGGATACAGAATGTTCCACCACCACCAGGAACCTCTACTACCCCTTTGCTCCCTCCCACTCCTAACCCCTGGCAACCACCAATCTGTTCTCCACCACTGTAACTTTATTTCAAGAATGTTATGTGAAAGGAATCGCATAGCATGTAACTCTTTAGATTGGCTTTTTCACTCAGCATGATTCCGTTGAGATTCATCCAAGTTGCTGCACATATCAATAGCTTTATCCTTTTTACTGCTGCATAGTTTTCCATGGTATAGATGTACCAGAGTTTAACCATTCACCTGTTGAAGGACCCAGCCATTTTCACATTTCCTTCTATTTTACTTCCTAGTGGGTCAAAGGTCACAATTTGTTCAGATGTGTTGCTTCAGCTTTTTACAATAATTTATTCCTAAGGAGAAGGTTAGGCTGTAGGAATATTGAACTCTAAATGATACCTGCTGCTTGCAGAGATGCAACAAACACACCTAAAGATTCAATGCTGTTAAACTCTAGTCTTTCAAACGAAGATTTCCTTACCTACAGCTGTTTCTACTGGCTCTCTCAGAAAAAGGCATCCACCAGGCCGAAGGATCCGGGCCATCTCAGCCAGGACCTCAGCACTGTGCAGAATGGTGCTTCCAGGAATTACACCCGACAAAATAATGTCAAAGCTGGATTCTTTGTGGGCAGCTGAAAAGAAGGAAGACTCTAATTAGCAATCCCCAGGACGCTAGAAGCAATCCCCCAAGCCCTCCCAAGCCCCCACGAAGGCTACAGGCCTGGCCCTTGTAGAATGCACACCCACCTGTTCAGCAAATGCTACTATAGCACCGTTACCAGTAAGAGGGGTGAGGACACTGCTGCCCCGCTCTCCCTCAGTCTAATTTCATATCCTTTTATGTGCTCAGGGAAAGAAGTTAAAAAGGAAGCTGGATGAACAGTATGCTTTTTAAAACAATAATGTGGAGTATCTAATAAGAAACAAGAACATGCTTATAGAAATCATCGACTACACTCCTAAGCCCACTACATCTCAACTGGAAAACAAGGTGACCGCCCACTACTATCGCGTGCCACCCAAAACAAAAACTCAGTTATCAAGGAACAACAGAAATGCAGCACTCCCATCAAAACCCACCCACCTCTCCCCACCCCCACCCTGTAAAGACGACCTGGGTAGGTACTTACACTGCAACAGCTGGTTGATGTTTTCTACAGATACTCGGCCCTCACTGCCGGTTACCGCCTGAAGCTTATCCACCAGGTCTTTCAGGGCCTCCACTGGGGAAGACTGATCCCAGACCACAGCCACAAACTGGCCAGCTGAGATCCCAAAGTCTGCCATTCCTGCGGTGCTGCGGACCTAAAAACAATGGGCCACAGGAGGGTCAACACTGAGCAAAGAGTGTAATTTAATCCACGCGGCACCATCAAATATGATTAGAATCACAACCTAATTCTGACCTGCCACCAGGAAAAGCTGATCACATAGAAAACCTTACTGTCCACACCAGAGTCTGACTAAATGAACCCATTATCCCAAGGTTTCATAATCCCAACATACCCAAACAAAGGCAGGTGGCTTCCTTGGTGAGAATCCTGACTTGGCAAAAAGATTATTTCCTCTTTAGAGACAACTGAGCTTGACCAGAGTATAAAACACACAGGATCATTAATTAGGCAGAAGTATGACTCAGCAAGGAAGGCAAACAAATTGGCAGATATAACCCAACCACAAGCTTAATGTTTTTAAGGAGACAACTTATTCAATTTAGCAAAGTGGATATTTTCCCTTTCATCCAAATATGATCATCGTATCAGTTATCAATAGTATCTACTATGTCCTTCTTGAACATTTAATATTAGCCAGACTATTCAAAGCACTTTACATACATTATCTCATTTGAACCTCAGAATAACCTTAAACTAGATATTATTCCCGTTTTACAGCCAGGAAACTAAGGCCGCTGACTTCGCCCAGGTCACACAACTAACAAGTGTTGTGCAGATAAAGTAAGAGCTGAGGTTTAAACCCAAGTCCATATGACTGGCTGTAAAGCCCATGCTTTTAACCTATGGAAATTTCCCGCCATGGGTCAACTTTCTCTTCCACTTGATACTCAGATGAGTATACAATGTGCTCACAATGAAATTAGGTCAGGAGATAGCACTCTACTCAGTTCCTCCTTCTTTCTTAAACATTAATGCCACAAAGTTTCCAACTTAAAATAGCTCTAATAAGTGATACAAAGACAGAAGCTGTGGCGGGGACATCAAGCATGGATCAGTCTTATGCTGAGCACTCTTCTGCAGAGGTGGCTAACTCAGTGACCATTATTCCACCACAGACACTCGGGGACTTAATTTAAACCATGTCCCCTACATTCTTCCTTCTTTGAAAATGTTCGCTTCAAATGACTTGCTCCGATGCCTACGATACTATAGTATTTTGATTTTTTGCTAATTTCCTAAAGGAATTACTAAAGTTTTCTTTTCTAGAGCAAAATCAAAACTCCTCAGTCTTCTGGACTCAGGCCCTCCACAATTTGGCTCCACCTGTATCTCACACCTCCCCAAAGTGAAGCCCTCCTCATTCTATGAAAAATATTTGCATAATTTCACTCTCTCATGCCTTTTATCCAGTTCCTTCCATGTGGAATGCACACTATCATCCTGACCTAACTTCAAGTCCCAGTGAAAGGTTACTAAGTGTTGTCAGGCAAGGATTCCTTAGTCATTGAATTATGGTTTTCGAATCCCTAAAAAGCACAGTCACATGCTGAAAATTTTAAGCTTTTAACTGTCACATGATGTTAAGAAGCCTTGCAGATCTTTAAGGTGAGCGACTTGGGATCAATCTCACATTTAAGAATCAGCCAGGGAGGACAGGAATATAGATTGCTGGGCATTGAGTTATAATGCTGGGCATTCTGTTTCCAGAATGACACTGGAACAGTTTCTCTCTTAGGACAACAGAAAGAGAGGACAAGCTCCCTGCCCACCAGTGACTAATACAACCTTGTACTGTACTCACGGAAAAACCTTCATGAAAGAACCGAGGTTACTTGATAGCTAGAGGAAAACAAAAAGCCAGATGTCTGGACCTTTCCAGCAACCTTTATATGGAGGCAGAGTTTTATAGCGCACAGGTTTTGAATACAGATGAAGTGGGATTCTATCTACCGCTAAATCTTCTAGTCATTAGCTACATGACATGAGTGAGTTATTAGCCTTTCTTCTCATCAATAAAGGAGGCATAATTTCATCTTTTGCAAAGCTGATGTAAGACGTGAGAAGATAAAAATATGCAAAGCACTCAGCAGAGCCTGGCACACAGAGCTCAATAAAATGCTCTAAAAGAAATGAGCTTCCACTTCCTGGTAGCCAGTTTACTTGCCTTTGCTTCAAATAGTCTTATAAAACCTTGTTCTTCCTCCTCAGCCACGTCTGCTGGGAAGCTTCTTTTTCATTGTTAGAATTACACAGTATAAGAACTACATTTATGACATCTACAGTATTCTAGTGGAATTATGTCTGTAAATTAGAAGAATGTAAAGTGCTTTGCATTCCATATCTCCCCAAAATAATCTTCTATGGCAAGAGGAAGCTCATAAAATACATTTATTAAATATTAACCCTCAAAAACAGACACAGCCACTACTTTGGGTCAGCATTTTCCCAAATAAAATGGGAAAGAATATTCTTTTAAAAATCTATAATAAAAGCCAAAGTGTGATGCTTTTTTCATCATCAGAGTTTTGTGTTATCAATCTGTCTTAAAAAAAAAAATAAGGAAAAAATGTCTGGCACTTAAATCAACATACTTAGAAGTATGACTCAGAGACCAGTTTCATAACTACAAAGAGGTAGATGAGAATAAGTCACTGTCACGTCACTGGACTCGTTAAGCACCTCTTCCACGCTGCTGCACGTACATGCCCATGGCTCTTCTAAAATGTTACTGGCAGGCAGTAATAGATGTCTAAGAATAACTTCTGGAGATGCACTTGTTGATGTTTGAGGTACTCAGTAAACATCAAATCATGAGGCATTTGGCATCTCTTAAGGATGAAGGGGGCCAAAACAAAAAATTAGGTTGAAGTTTTGGTGTCAGTTCAAACCAAAACTCCAATCTCTTAAGTCAGGTGCAGAAACAAATCTGAGAATACTGACAGTTATCAGAAAATTTTAATTAAAATGAACTGACTAAAGCATGCAGAGAGAGAGAGAGAGCGAGCGAGAGAGAGAGGGAGAAAAGTGATAACCAGCAAGGAAACTGGAAACTCAAAGGAAAATGGAAGACTGTCTCCAGGCAATTCGGTGTGTGTCAAAGAGTTAAGGGTTTCAGGACGGTTATCCAAATGCTAGAATTTCCACAGGAAAGACTCATTTGAAGTGGACAGAATTCAGATAAAAAACAAAGCACCTCATGGAGAGATCAGTAGTGCTGTACCCAAATCCAGAGATATGGATATGAAATGTTAACATTTGGGGAGTAGTTTTGGCTTAGAGGGCTTTCTCCACACTCATGCAGGGGAGAGCAAAACGTTTTCAAAAGACTAGGGCTGGTAAGGGGTGTACAAAACAGACACAAAACAAGGGTCTAACCGCAAACACAAAATTTACAGAATGACATGCTTAGCTCCTGTTGTCCCTAATCACAAAACCATATACTTCTTCCGACTAATATGAAGCCTTCCCTGAGGGTAGATATTCCAGTGAGGCGCTCTGCATTTTCATTTGTTTTAGAGACTAGTCCACGACCTCCCGGGGTCACCCAGAACTTGGCACTCGATGTCTGAATGAACGAATGCTACCAGCCTTTCCCAAAGCTGCACATCCCACAAATCACCTGGGGGCATCTGTTAAAATAAAATTCCTAGACAACACCCAAATGTACTGAGTCAACTCTCCAGGAGAAAGACCTGGGTATCAGGCTTATTAACAAGCATCCTAAGTGGTTCTTTCCATCTGGCAAGTTTGGGAAATATCTAATTATACCAACTCAAAATTACAACCTGGGAGTTCCCCCCAAAGATCCAAACCAGCTCCCCCAATATTTGAGGGACCGAGGCCCAAGGTCACAACGGCTGGCTACTGGCAGAAGCGGGTCTCTGACCCAGGTCTCTTGGACCCCAGCTCGGGGCTCTTACTCCTCGGCGTGCTGTCCCGGGGGCCTCAGACCGGGCACCGCAGTGCAGGAGACGAGGCAGCCCAGGAAGGGCAAGAGGCCACAGCGCCAGGGGCCAGGGACGGACAGAACCGGTCTGGCCTTCACACTGGATTCCCTGGGGGAAAGCCCGCCCTCGTCCTCAGGGAGGTGGCCATGGCCCCGTCCTCACCGAGGCACAGGACTGGGGCTAGGAAACCAGAAGATCTGGGGACAAGGGAGGGCTCGGAGGGGGCCGTGGGGGTAGGTCGGGCTCTCCGGCCACCCGTGCAGCGCTCACCTGCCACACGGGACTCGATCCCCGACTTCTCCGCGGCCGCCGGCTCGGCAACACGTGCCTCTCGCGAGAAGGAGGCGGCTCCGACGGCGCCGGGAGGGCGGAAGTGGCTGCGACGCGCTCTCGGTGCGGCCCGTGTCGTCGCCGTCGGCGGCGTGCCCGCTTCCAAGATGGCGGCCGCGGTGTCCGGCGCGTTCGGCCGAGCCGGTTGGAGGTTCCTACAGCTGCGGTGCCTGCCTGGTGAGGGGGCGACCGAGCCGGGGCGCGGGGAGGGAGCGCGAGGACGACCTGGGCTGGGGGCGGGGCCGACAAGGCTGTCGGGGCGACCCGCGAGCAAGGTGAGGTGAAGGGCACGGGCGCGGAGCCGCCGGCGTCCCGGGCTTGAACGTAACGGGCCGTCTGGCTGGCTTCTGCCCCCCGCCTCCAGCTGTGAGGGGCCAGAGCCGCGGCGCAGGGCCTGGCACTCCAATTTAATGAAGTTACCGGAGCCCCAGAGAGGGATGTGGGTGCCCAAGGTCATCCAGCTGGTCGTTTGCAGAACTGGCCGCCTCGGACCGTCTCATAATTCCATTGCCAAATCCCTGGGCCAGGACCACTCGCGGGACAGTTGGAGACAACCACAGAGAGCGCATAGTCAGCCCACTGTTCCCAAAGTCAGTCATTGCCTCCCACCCACTTCAGTAGTTTTGATATCCTTGTACCACCTTTGCC